TCTTTTTGTTTGCTCTACTTTCTTACACATCCAACCAAGCCTATTTATAGGCATTACAAAGCACAAATATCTAGCCTAACCGACTTACCTATGTGGCTCTTAATTTTCTTGATTTCTTTATGCCACAACTAACACCTAACACATTTAAATCATTTTCTACATACTTCCATACACTTCTGATTTTTTCATACTAGCACCACACACATAGCTAGTTTCCATAATGGTTTTATTTATTTATTAATTAAACTTTAATTTCAACAATCATATCATGTGCTGCTGGATCGTATATATTATTATTAGTATAATTAAACGGCAAGCTCTGCAACCCGCAACTGATACTCTGTAAGATACATAACATATAATAGTTCATATAACAAATTAAAGAACCGAACAAAAGGAAGGAAACAAGATAGCTAGCATGCATTGGGCGATTGATTCAAGTAATTTATTGAGGAACCTGCGGGTGTTTCGATGGTGCTTCAGGACCAGATATGGTCGTTGCCCTTTCACTCCCACCTGCAACCACCCAGATATGGTATTGTTTAAACATAAATTTGGAGATCCACGACCTGCGGTATATGCTCGCTAATAACATTGAATTTGCACATGTGTTACTCCTTCATGGTTGGGTACATTATTTTCTTTCTTCAGTTTTAGTATGTATCAATAGTTACTCGATTAATTTTTATCTTATGATTCTTATCAGTTTTAGTATGTATCCATAATTAGTTGATTAGTTTTTATCTTACGATTCTTAATTCCATTAATTTCAATATGATTTCTTAATTCCTTTAATTTCAAATTTAAGTTTTATATTCCAATAATTATCCATTCAACTTTTATCTTATGATAATTTCTTAATTAATTTTTTCAATTTCAATATGATTCCTTAAGCCCTTTAATTTCAAATTTAATTTTTATATAACGGTACACTTAGTCCTTTTGACTTTCAATATTTAGCTAACTTGTTTTTTTTTAATTTGTTTTCTTAAATCTGTTACTAAAATCATAGATCAATTAAACTCTTCAAGTTGCAAATGTTAAAGAATACTTTTGGGTGAATAAAACAAATTCTTTATAAAATACTAGACATTGATTATCAAGTATGAAAATAGAATGTGTTACACAATATTAAATGTATTATTGATTTGTTTATCATTTTCTATATATTGTAGCACGATAGAAAATTTAAGTTTATATCTTGTTTTGAGTGACTCTAATCACCTAAAAATATTATTATAATAATATTAAAATATTTTTTTTAATTTTATCGTCTTTTCACGGTTACAAAATAAAAACTCCCCCCCCCCCCCCCCGGAACGCTCAATCCTAGCTCCGCTCCTGCTTGATTGTTTAGCTTGGTGTTTATCATACTTTGGCTTATTTTACTCTAGGTTGTGTTGTGTTCCTTTGTCACATTTCAGGTCCTAACGTGTAAAGTGAAGCATAGACGCAATTTACAAGTCAATCGGAGATCAATTGGCGACTCGGGGGAAGAAACTTGGGCATGACCCAAAGAAGAATAGATCAATCTGTCCCCAAAGAAGAATATGATCATCTAGTTCAACTCCGGGGGAGTCTTTGCGAGAATGTCTCCACCTGGACACAAAGACTCAATCAGCCGTTGGCTCTCTGGAGACAAAGCTTTGTAGAAGTTTCCCACAGTGAATGCATCACTGAAGCCGTGGTGGGACACTTCCAGAACAGTCCAGAATACCGTTCCCAAGCATCTCGCAGCGACACATAATCTTTTTGGCGGAAATGAGTGATCTCCCGCTGAATCTCCACAGTCTTCGAGGCCGGTAAGTACATGTGCACGAATTTGTTGGCCTGATCATCCCAAGAAGTGATGGACAGTGGCGGCTGAGTCTCTAGCCACCTCTTCGCATGCCCCGCCAGAGAGTGGGAGAAGAGGCGAAGACGGATCGCGTCATCTTGTACCCTGTTTAGCTTGAACCCATATTGGTAAGCTGCAAGAACCGAGAAAGGCCATGAAACTGGATGGAGTATGTTATCGACTGAATCCAACATGGCTTGATCTTGAAGTTATTAGCAGGAATGTGTGGATACTGGATGACTGGGCGAATGTTAGCGATCCGTGGAGTGTAGAAGTACTCCATAGTAGCTCCCTGCGGAGGTGATTAATGATGAGCATCATCTGCTTGGGGAATGTCGTTATGAGCCAGAACCTGATTCGTTGGGGAATCTGGAGAGGCATCCCCAGAGGTGGATTATGCCCCAGGTTCAGGTTCATCCTGTTGTGCTCGTCTCCCATATCGTACTCCTTCTCGGAGTCGCTGCTAAGATGTCCGTCGACTAGCGCGTCCTCTGTAGCCAGTCTTGCTCGCTGTGCCTTCCTAAGCTGGCGACAAGTGCGTTCTAGCTCCGGATCCAACGGTAGTAATGCTCCCAATTGGCTACGGGTCATGCACTACCTGCACACAGCTAAGCCAACAAACCTGTGAAGGCAAGAGTGGGACAAAGTAAAATAATCAATGCGGAAAAGAAATGCTAAAGTAACAGAAATCACGTTTCTTCAACAACCTAGCCGTCCCCGGCAACGGCACCAGAAACTTGACTCGCCTGTACTGTCACACTAGAAAGTGGCCAAGTGTAACCACCTACTAATGCGTAGTATAGTGGGTTTAGCTTTAATTGTCAACCCGGGTCCTATATGTGATGACTACTCCGTGAAATTCTTATTATTTAGCGGTTTAATTGTAGTGAAGTATTAACCAAACTAACCAACACAAAGCAGCAAAAGTTGTGGTTCAAGTTTGAGAGAGGTCACCCATATATGGTTCCCCCTAGATTGTAGTTAAGTCGGGTTATAATTCTCCAGGTCCATATTCAATGACAGTTATACTGCGGAAGGTTCTTATTCAGTCTGAAGTCTCGACTAAAGATCTCAAAACCCTCTCAATCTGTATACCCGGCGGGCGACTAACCTCCACCAGAGTAAACAAACAAAGGCCCTAATGTGCAAAACCTCCTCTACTGGAGTAAATCCAGTAGAGAGTAATGAATTGACTCCTCGACTAAAGTAATCAATTTGCCACCTTCAATTAAGGGTGTTCAATCATGCCCACCTTCAATTGAAGAGGGAGACCTTATTGCGAATCGACTGTTTACTCCATATCCTAGTTCAATCATGCCAATCAATTCTTAGTTCTCGGGCCTAACATCTACAGTCCGATTTTCCAGAAATAGCAAAAATTATTCAAGACACACACCTGGAAACACAAGTAGTACTGTAGAGGGACGCGAGTAGAGGGCAAGAGATGCGAAAACACGCCAAAAATCGGCCCTGGAGGACTCGCCGGAAAGTCGCCGGCGGCGAGGGTGTGGCTGAAAAAATTAAACATCGCCTAAACTGAGCGAAATTTCTGGAGGAGGGGTGCCCCACAGCGTAGATCCCGAATCCGCGATCGAATTTCAATTTGGAGGTCGTATGCCACCGGGATCTACAAAAGAACGACTAGAAGGCGCGCTCCGACGAGAGAACAGGGGAGGAAGAGAGAAAGCAGAGATAGAGGGATCTGAAAAAATGAGAGGAGAGAGAAAGGGGGCAGTCGGGTTTTGCGTTATAAAGGAGAAATACCAGGGCGGGTATTTGAGGCCTACGGCCGGGTATTTGTCATTTTACCCGCCCCATGACCAGAAGGGGGCCCGGTTGCAAAGCCAAAATACTCGGCCAGGTATTTGAGCCCACGATAAGGTATTAGCCCCTTTTCGGCCAAACTCGTGCTTTTTCTCATTTTTTGAACTCCCCTTCCAGATAACCCCAAACCGAGGTATACCAGACCGTGGTGGGGTTTCCTCCCCATAAGCGCATTTTTTTTATGTCTTTTAGCTAGACGCAAGCAGTGGATTCTCAGAGCGGATTAGGGGTAGGTGCCCCCAAGAGCGGATCCACATCACTCTTGAGGTGCAACTTCAAATGGTGGTCATGAACTCGGCGATTGTGGCCATCAGTAAATGATAACTCGACCTGGCCATCCGGGAGGATGCAAGCGAGGGAATACTCGGATGACCAGGGTAGTCGCGGCTCTTAATGGCCTCCACTTTCTTCTTGGTTGCTTTAGGGGCCTGAACCGTTGGCCGCCACTCCTCCTTGATCTTCCTTTTTAGGAACGAGGCAGACGAGCGTGGCGGCGAACTAACGTTTGGAGAAACCTGCAAAACCGGAGAGGCAGAAGGATACACGACAGACTCGTGCACCTGGTAATATCAAGCATACACATGCGAGGTCGCAGTCCTATCATTAGCTATGGAAAGTATGATCTGCTCCTCACCATCTCTCAAAACTAAGGTCCCCTCATGTACATTAATAAGAGCCTTGGCAGTGGCCAGGAAAGGCCTACTTAGTATCAGGGGCACTTCTGCGTCCTCATTTATGTTTAAGACAACAAAATCCGCAGGATAAAAGAATCTGCCAACCTGAATCGGGAGGTCTTCCACTATGCCTCTAGGATGAACCATTGATCGGTCAGCTAGTTGGACATTCATCCTAATTGCACTCGGTGCACCTAAGCCTAGTTGCTTGAATAATTTATATGACATCCCATTGATACTAGCGCCAAGATTCGTCAAGGTGCATTCAATTCGTTTCAACCCAAGTTTTCTGGTCGGAAAACATGTTTCTTTTAACAATACAATCTCATTCATCAAATAACATGTTGATGTTATGGAAATAAGGTTTAATGATAATATATATTTTTTATCTATTTACTCGATTTCTTTTTTAAATGCCTTCTTTTATTATGTTTCTCGCAAGAAATGACCATTCTACTATGCATAATCCGAAAATCTTAAACAAAAAAAAGTAAATATGTAAGGATTTTTGTACTGATCCATATCCTTTTCTTTTCTTTTGTGTTCATTGTATTACAAATTACGATGAAGATCGTTTTGACATAAACATTGATATATAATAAAGATTATAGGGCGAATGCGTAATATAAAAAAATTGAAAACAAAATGGTATATATCGTATCTGCAACATTGGTCATCTTGTCATATGTAACTATTATTGTATTATAATATCTATCTTTCAGAGTACGTAGTTTAAATTACGATCGAACACACATAATTCGGAAAAAAGTAACCCCAGTGGCTGCTTCCACTTGCAAAAATAACTCCATCTTTCTCAACCACCCCCAGACAGCAATTAACATTCCGGCAGGCAGGCCCTTTGACGTCATCTTTGACGGCTTCACAACTCTCTTCCCTGCAGAAGAAAGTTATACATCTGACCTGCTTGCAAAGGTTCAAAAACTGCGGCCAACCAAAATAAAAATAAAATTATGAAATTGAAGGAGAAAGAAACCTGTAGGAAAAGAGAGTAGAAGCAAGCAACATGAGTAGACGAAGCAGAGAGGAAGCATATAGGATTCATCACAAAACCTACTACTGTAACAGCTTATTAGCATTCAAACAGAAAAGTAGTAGCTAGCACAAAGCCATGAAATATGAACAATAGAGTAAAGTAATAATTTGTAGTGCAAAATAGCTTTAAGAAACCTCACCACCGTATTTTGATCTACCATCCATGATAAAGCCCACAAATATTCAGTTTCCTTCTCAATAGGCTTACCAGAACATAGAAGACATAGAGGCTCAATAAACTGCTGTTTTGAAGGAAGGAAGGAAGGAATTCAATAGCAGGAGCACACCTTAACACTACACTGAACATTTATATTGTTGTCAGAAGCTCAAGAACTCTCTCATATTTCACCTGCAAAAGAACAAGAGCATCATGGGAATGAAACGATTAGGGGAACTAGGAAATTTTATTACCAATCATTCATTGGTACAGAAAATAAGGTGAAAACTTGGAAAATAGATGTGAGTTAGGAAACCCAATACTTGACTAGCAGTTGCAAATTACAAACACGAGTTTCCTTTGAAATAAATTTTTTTTTTTTTTGTTCTGGGTGATATATATTAAAGGGAAACAGAAACAACCAAGTACAGCAAAAGTCAGAAGAACGGAAAAAACCAGAAAAAGAGAAAGGCAAAAGCAGGGACGCCGACATCCGCCACAAGGACAGCAGATGATCCGGCAAACCCCACACAGCACAGGCATTGCATAAGCTGCTACAATTCTCATCACAACAGCTCAAGGTCTCAGCAAACCAGCTCTATTACCAAAATTGCTGAAGCAGCCATGATCTCCCCTGGCCACGGAGACCCGTTGCGCTCATCTAGATGGTCTGTGTATCAAGCTCTGATCGTCGAGAAGCTGTTGATCTTGATTTCCATGTTGACCTGATCTGGGGGGAGTCAACCGAGTCTTCATCTCGTAGAGCCAGCTCTCAGCTACTCTTCTGTCAACTACTCGGGCTGCGGACAGCCAATGTGTTATCACGCGTCCAATCCTGTAAGCTACAACTCGAATCGTCGTTTCACTGTCTTTAAATGTCCTTGAATTTCTCTCGTACCAGATGTTCCAGCAAAATGCATGTAGGAAGGCAAATGAGCACCATTGGGGCGGGCTGTTTGGTTTGCTGTGCGCCCATCTTCTTATTCTGTCTTTCATGTCATCATCTCTTTCTGCCCCTCTTGCGATTGGTATGAATGTCCGGAGGATGCGCCAAACTTCAGATGAGAAACTGCAGAATATGAACAGATGATTGATCGTTTCTTCTCCTTCTTTGCACAGCATACATCTATTTGCAAGCTGGAATCCTTTTCTCTTCAAATTGTCGATTGTAAGGATTCTGCCATGGTATATTAACCACATAAACACACAGATTTTGCTCGGAATTACATGTCTCCACACCGACTTGCAGGGGAAGCCATCTTCACCCGGAAGAATAGTTTCGCCCAACTTCTCATAGGCTGAGTGCACCGAGAACCCTGATGAGAGGTTGGGGTTCCAGATAACTCTTCCTGGTCCTGCAGAAAAATCAGAAGCAGATAGGTTTTCCAATAGGCGAAAAAGGCGCTCTCTCTCTCTCTCTCAGCCCCACCCCTAAGAGTAAGTTTCCTTTGAAATAAATTTCATTTACAGCCTTAACAGGAAGCTAACAAAACACTGCATGATGATTTTTACTCTCAACAGAACCTTAGGAAAGATTCAGATTCACCAAAATGTTAGTAAATGTTGTCAAAATTGACACATTTCTTTTAGCTACCAGACATAGTTCTGTCATTTTTGCCTCATTACCTACCTTTCCAATTGGGTAATCTAGTGTTTATCATTGACATGCTTGTAGTCCCTGCCAAGAAAAAGACACAGCTATTAGAGCGCTAGCTAGAACGAGGAGAAAGACATGCTAATTAGTTATACACAGCTGAATTTAAAAGTAGCAATGATTACCACCAAATTAAGAATGATAATTTCGTTCATGCATATCCAGGACAACTATTTGGAGCAAGAATTCAACTGACATCATTGATGATAAAATGAATCATCAAAACTTTTGATTCAAAAGCATCATTGAGACATACTCTTCTCTTCTAATTTCTTCCCTGATGGCCTAAAGGTTGTACTGCTTGAATGACAGGGTGTGTAAGAAGTCAAAAACAGGGCCGATTCCAGAATTTCAATCACACGATTTGCAGAGTAATGTTGTATTTTGAGTTTTAGGATCAATTAACTTCTCAACTACCAAAACAATCACCAAATAGACTCACATGCATTAGTCAAGCACCCAAACAAACTCGTATGAATCGGTTAAGGGATGAAGCAACAGAGGAGACTCGGTTGAGAATAGAAAACTTAGGGTATGAGAAAAACCCCCAATTGAGAGTACTAACTCAATCGAACATCTCACCTCCAGAACTCTCTCTCTCTCTCTCTCTCTCTCTCGCGATTGTGTGGTTGGATCTCCCCTGGCCACACCCCCACTCGCCCTCTTTCTCTCTCCTCTCTCTTTCGCCCTCTGGGCTCTGTCTCACGATCTCTTTGAGACTAATATTAAATCAATGGAAAAAATGCTTTATTTTTATCTTTTGCATTTAACTTTTTAAGTAAAAGAAAAACGGGAAATGAAATAAATTGTGGCCTGTGTTAATTATATAGCTTTGCTGCAGCTCAACATCAATTAGATACCGACGGTCAAATATTCCGTCCACTTTGCCCGTCAACAATTTATAGATACCGACGGTCATGGGCGAGTGTCAGTAGGTAACCGTGGTTATCATTAGTTTTCCTTGTAGTGGTAGTTAAAATTACGATCGAACACACATAATTCGGAAAAAAAGCATCATCATTTTGATAACCGACAATGCTATTGCTAAACTAAACTAGTTACTTCATCTTTTGAAAGCATTCGATGTGAATACCCTAGCAGAGTGAAAAAAAATTTACTATAAAGTTTCACTATGAGATGCAGTTTTAAAATTCGAAACTACAATCATCATTTTGAAAACCGACAGTGCTATGGCTAAACTAAAAACTACTTTATCTATCACGATGTGAATACTAAAATTAGTAAACAGCAGGTCGTGGATCTATCATATGGGATAATATCGATCTGTCATATCTGGGTTGGTGGCTGCAGGTGGGACGGAAAACCATCTCTGATATCTGGTCTCGAATCGCAGCCACTAGTACCGCATGTGCATTCGTTCCTCAATAAATAATAACTTAATAAAATGGAACTAGCTCCGATCCAACGGTACGTGAAACTCGACAAAAGGATCGGAAGGATCTGATTGATAGAGTCTTAGTGCTATCATCATTGAAGTTGCATGAACATTCACCATTGGTATAGTGGCCGGCCTGTGTTGACTACTTAATTCCATTCCATGCAAGCATGTCATTGATGTAGCTAGAGAATTATTAGCGACCTCAAAGAATCCGAAACTTATTAGTGCTAGTAGCTCCCTCCTAGTCTCTTTTCCTTGCAAGTTGTTTTCGTTTAGCGGGTATTGTGTTTCCCTTTCATGCTTGGTTTGAGCGGCGCTGCTAGGTGTGTCTGCGGCCCTGCGATTTTGCAGTTTGTTTGGCTAAGTGACTTGGTTCTGTCCCTGTCTAATGTGTTTGTTCTTGTTCTTTTTCTTATCTTTTTTGTCAGGACTTGTTGCCTTTCCTTCACTTTTGGTGAAGAAGGCTTGTTTTTGTTTGTATTGTTCATTTCTTTCTTTCAATGCATTTTATCTATTATAAAAAAAGAAAAAAGACTTACAATAGTCAGTTCGTAGAAGCACTTAATTCAACACATATTTAAAAAATCAAAAGCAAAAAATTCCAAAAGTACATTGCGGATAAGGGAGAAACCAAAAGGAGCTGAAGAAAGACATTAGGGCACATGGAAATGGTACTGGATGGATGCTACGAAAAGAAAATCAAATATTGGCTCAAATAAGGAAGGATTGCATTCGGCTATTTATATGAGTATTTTTTTTTTTGGTATCTTTGTATCTTTGTAGTTGAGAGTGTCCTAGGTTTGGGATTATAAAGTTACTTGATAATTATAGAGATAGAGGTTTTGTAGTGTCAAGGTTGTAACATAAAAGAATTGGGATATGGGTTTTTGTAACTTATCTGAATTGAGATACGGGTTTCAGTAGAGGTGAAGCTAGAACTTGAGTTTCCCGGGGGTCATATATTAGGATTATAAAGCCATAATATGTTATTCTAGATAATCAAATCACTATAATTTTAAATTATACTATGATATTTGATCAATTATACTATGATATTTGATCAAATGATATGAATCTGTAAGAAAATTATATGAATTTGTAAGAATCACAGTAGAACAAATAAATGACTTTACCCAAACTTGAACCCGGGTATGGGTTAGAAATAAGTTGACAATGCTGCCCGCTCCACTGTACTTCATTTTTTTATGGAATATGTGGGCTTTTCATTCCAAGAATTAAGACCTGTTACAATCCAGCCTGTCCAAATCAGCCTCCAAAAGACAAAGGAAGTTCAAAGGGGGATTATCCACCCAAACTACTTGTCTATCCCAGCCCGAAAGAGCATGGGCCAACCAATGGGCCGTAGCATTGTTCCTTCTCAGTGTAAAACACCATTTCACAGCAACAGCAGAAATCTCCTCATTGCATTTTGCCAGCTTCTTGATCTCTTCGCACCAGACACCAAGTTCAGAAAAATCCATTTCCTCTCTCTCCAGCTTCCCGATCAACACTTGACAATCTGATTCCACCATCAAGGGACTGAATCCCCTTCTATTCGCTTCGCAAAGCCCCATCACAATAGCTTTTGCTTCAATAGGTCTGCACAATCCTCTTTCTTTCTTCGCCGTAGCACCACAAAAAAACCCTCCCCAGTCCCTGATTACACATCCAAACCCAACACCCGTTTGATTTAGAATTTCCGCATCGGAATTGAGCTTGAAGACTCCCTCAGGGAGTGGGCTCCAATCAGTATGAACACCAGAGCTGCTTGGCTGGTGATGAGCCACAGTGCTCGAGGCGTGGGGTTCTTGAGCTTCCAAATAGGCATGCAACCAGCCCAGCGCCTTAGGAATAATCTGATTCTTGTCGATCTTGTGGTTGTTAAACAGGTGATTACATCTTTCCTTCCATAGATACCAAAGGATCACACAAATTTTTTGAATCTGCTCCAAATTTGAGTAATTCCTGACTTCCTTCAACCATTCCATGCACGATTTCCCTTCTCCAATGTCGAATAACCCTTTTCCTTTCCAGGTGCCCCATTGGCGGCGAACCCAGCAACATTCTCTCAGGGCATGCATTTGATCTTCAGGCAAACCGCAGAAAGGGCAGTCCAGCCAGGCCTCCTCAATCCACTTCTCGATATTACATCCCACAGGTAAGATATTCCTTCCCATTCTCCATATGAAAATTCGAACCATAGGAGGGATAGGGGTCTTCCATAGATTTTTACATAACTTTGTCTCCTCGTCTGAGATTGAATTGCGAGTAGTCGTGTTGTGGTTGCGATTCTCGAAAATTCAGTTGTAAGTTGTCTTCACTGAGTACTTCCCATTATCCGAATCAATCCAAACCCTTGAATCACTCCTCAGAGGCCTCCTAAGAGGAATTTTAGAAATAAGACCACAATTCAGGCTCGAGAAATTTTCTTTTAGCCTGTTCTGATCCCAGATACCCCTCTCCTTATCGATGAGATTTGAAACCAACTCGTTTGGATCCATAGTGTTAGGCTGAGGATCCGCAAAGAAATAGCTCTTCCAAGGAATCCAAGAATCCTCCCAAATTCGAATAGATTCACTATCTCCAACACGCCACCGAAATCCATCCTTGATCTTTTCTTTAGCAGTCATAATGCTTCTCCAGATAAAGCCGGGGTTATAGCCTATTTTAGCATCTATAATATCATTTCTTGGAAATTACTTGGCTTTGAGAAGTCTGGCCATCAGAGAGTTTGGTCTAGAGATCACATTCTAGACTTGTTTGCCAAGCATTGCCAAGTTAAAATCTCGGAGATTTTTGAAACCCATACCACCCACATCCTTCTCTTCACAAAGAGTTTACCACTTCAGCCAATGATGTTTTGGTTCTTTCCCTTTCTGACCCCACCAGAAATTAGAGATCATCTTCTGAATGTCCATAAGAACCCCTTCAGGGATCATAAAAGTATTTAAATAAACTCATAGTTTATTCGTGATTTAAATAAAGCACAAAACGTTTTGTACGTAACTACAAAAGTTCCGGGGTGAGCCTAGGCCCAACTAGCTCCGCCCTTGGGTTTCCGTTCTTTGTTTCGTTGAGTAACAATAAATTGGCCGTCTAATTGTTTCTAGGTTTTAGCTTGCCCTCTTCCTTCTTCTCATTAATTATATACTAGATTTTTTACCCGCGCTTTGCAGTGGTAAGAAACTAAGAACGTCAAAAATTTCATCCACTAATTTATTGATTTCGTTTTGATGAAATAATTCACAAAATAGTTTGGTAAGCTACTTCCGTACGTTTTACATAATATCTTAATTATTATGGAAGGCTTACGTAATACATTTGTTGAATTGATGTATAAGAAATTAAGAATAACTATTCCTTAGGATAAAATTAGGTATGTGAATACAAAAAAATTGTGGATAGTACCTAGGGGTCGGTCGATTAGATCCAAAACCGGTTCGAATTGAGATAGAAACATACAAAAAATAAAGAATAAATAAAGACCAGAACCAGACAAAAACATGCTTGGTTCATTTGGTTCAATTCGGTCTGGTCCAAGTTCAATTTCAATCAATTTTTTATTCATACTAAAAATAAATCATAAAACAAAAATCGAATCAAAATATATTCAATTTGAACCGATTCGTTCCAAATATTGATTCAGTTTAGTACGGTCTGGTGTGAACCGGATCGTTGCCTGCCCTTAATAATACCCATTACAGAAAAAAAAGAAACATATTTAATTCTACCCCTACTTTTATTAAGGAATAGTAATTGTCTTGCGTAATGGATTTGTAATGCGTAATCTTTCACAATATAAAATGAAAACGTACCTCAGTAGATGGGGAAAAAACAAAAAATAACCGACTACATGAGAAGAAATAGTTTATTGTAAAATTGGGCATATTGCATAAGGAATGAGAGACGCATGCAATTAAATTAAAGATCGGCACCTCATCTAATTCTTCTCTTGCTAAAGTAGAGATGGGGTTGTGGAAGAAGGGTATATCGATAGCAGTTTTGGTGCATGTGGAAAGATTTGGGAAGGAAGTAGAGAGGTATACGGACTTCAATGGCTGGAAATCATGAAGAAAGACAAAGAGAAACTGAAAGAGGCTCGGTAATCGCTCGCTGGTGATTTATACACGGTAAAGTACGCTCGGAAACAGGAAATTAAGCGATTGTGAACAGTAACCCTGGATTAAGAAAAGCAATTCCGATTTTATAGCAAGCAACCCCGTTTTTGTCGTATGGTACAGTAAAAGAAACTTACGGCTTAATTATATTATTATTATTGTTATATATTATGATAATAATAATAATAATAATAATAGCCTCAAACTACAAGCCAGAATGAATGGCCAGTTATTGCTAGGGAAATGTTTATAGTGAAAGTGAAAGAAGAACAATAGTCAATAGAAAAGATACATTTTTATTATGGCCGAGAGATGTCCAACAAGTGAGCGACACGTGACTCCTGGAGCTATAAGAGCGACGAACTAAACGAAAGCGTTGACCAACCCATTGTGTGGAATACCAAGAGACACCAAACCCTCCTTAATTATTCTGTGAAGCACTTAATTGTCATCAACGTTGAGCCGGGAGGGACAGTGGTGTACGTTCGGCAACCCTGTTGTTGCGTTTCACCAAAACTAGGTAAAGTGGATCTTGACAACTGAGTTGAAACAGCTGTTTTATCATGTAAGCACAAGTAGCCAGGCTGCAAAGGGAGATCGAGAAAAGGAAATTAATTATCGGTTGGCTGGCGTTAACTGATTTTGTCCAAAACATATAATTAATTAGGGCATTCAACTCCTTTTAATGAAGTTGGAAATTAATTACCTGCCAAGACATATATACAGAATTATCCACGGGGAAACTAGACCAACTTGCTTCCTTATGGGCAATCCACACCTAAGCAGTCCAAATGCAATTTTTTTTTATGAGTACAGATGGCTCCGGAACATCTCCTTCTCCCCTGGGAATGTTCAACAACCTCCCTCCTCATCTCGATTCTCGTTTCTGGAAAATTCTGTGGAGTTTGCCTGTCCCTCCCAAGTTAAAGTTCTTTTTGTGGCGGGTTGTCCGGGGGTTTCTGCCGTGTTTGGATGTGTTGCAGACTAAATCCTTAAGTGATTCAAATTCTTGTCCTGTTTGTGCTGCAGGAATAGAGACAATTGCTCACTGTTTATTTGACTGCAGAGTGGCGAGGGAGATTTGGTATCTCACTGGACATGAACAGGTAAGGGTGAATTTTTTGGTCTTCTCGCTCCTTTCCCGAAATTCTCCTTTCGTCGAGTTTCCGTTTTGTAATTGACGCTTCGGCTTCGCCCAGATCCATGGCTGCGGGGAATGTCCTGCTTTTTGGCGACGACGATGTCGCACCCGGGGCAGCACGAAATGAACTATCACTGCTGGGTAAAATCATTGGGCCATCCCCTCCAATTTGCCTTCTGCTTACGACCGTACGGGGCCTTTGGGACTTCGACGGGCCGGTTTCTATTCTCCCTGCGGCCGAAGGATTACTGCAGTTTGTTTTCTCAAATGAGGGGGATTTGAACAGGGTTCTGAAGATGGCACCGTGGATTTTGGCGAAGTTCATAATCAACTTGGCGCCATGGGTGGCGATTTCCCCAGATGTGGCTGAACAAATGTGGCGAGTTCCTCATTTTCTACAATTCTCGGAAGTACCAACCGCCTGCTGCTCTCAACGAATGGCTACTCTCCTCGGCGGTTACGATGGGAAAAGTGACCCGGGGAGGACAGACGTCCCGTATAATCTCATCTCGGGAAACCGGATTAGTTAAAAAGAAATTATGATCCGAGCTTACCTTTCTCGGAAGGCCTAGGGCCATCACTAAGATCTGAAAAGGGTTCCCATTAGATGAAAACAGACTTTTAAAATAACAAACAGAGACATTACCTTTGGCTGGTTCGTCAGTTTCTCCAACAGCGGGATGAATGGGCAGCAGCAACTAACTCCAGCCCGAGTGGAGGGAATCCTCATGGTCATCCTAGCCCTGTTCCGCCTTCTCCATCCTGTCCGGCAGGGGGTGTGTTGATCCACTTTGATGGCGCCACTCGACGGGGAGAGGGAGGCAGCATAGGGTTTGTCGGGTTCTCAGAAGCACGGTCACCCATTTACGCCTGTGGCAAAATAAACAAAGAGACCGAGGGGAAACAGAGAGAATGATGGATCGATTATAGATAGGTCATAGGTGTTTGACGAAATGCCCAAGAGATCAAAGTAATCCAAAATACCGACCCTAGTTAGCCAAGCCAACTAATGCGACCCATGGAAAATGCGAATTAGAGCATAAACCCAGACAATTAAATGAGCGTAATGATAACCCATGAAAATAATAAATTATTGTACGCTCGCTCGCACTAATCAAGTTGGCCGGCGGAGACGATGGTGGGTATGGCGAGAAGAGTGACGTCTCGGCGGGCTGTAAGACCAACGCATTCAGTCATCTCCAATCTCATTCCACCGGGCAGCCTCCAATCAAAGTCCCTCACTAGGTTCGCCAGCGCCACCTCCACCACTGCCAGGCCGAAAGAAATCCCCGGACAGCGTCGCCTTCCAGCTCCAAAAGGTATCAACTCGAAATCTTGGCCTATGAAGTCCACTTTGGTTTGGAGAAATCGCTCGGGCAGGAATTCTTCCGGCGATTCCCCCCAATATGCGGGTCCCTTCCGATCCCCCACGCATTGGTTAGGATCATGGTTCCAGCCGATACATCGTAACCCATTATGGTCGCGTCTTGCATAAGTTGCCTTGGAGGCAGCAACGGGACTGGCGGGTGCAATCAATCGTGTCGTCTCTTTGATTACTAGCTTCAGGTACTCCAGCTTTTGCAAATTTTCTTCACAAATAATGACACCAGCTTCTCTCCTGGCCTCCTCTTGCAGCTTCTTCATCACGCTCGGGTGTTTAATCAGCTTTGACATCGTCCATTCCAAAAGCGTTGACGTCGTGTATGTTCCTCCGATGAACATGTCCTGATCCACGTACCATATGACAATTCATAGCCAGTTAAGTAATTAATGACACGAATATTTAGCGTTACACCTTGGATTTTTTTTAATAAATAAATAAATCTAATCTAATCTAATCTAATCTAATCTAATCTAAACAAGTATTATATGGGGTTTCTCCTTCAGCACCCACTCCATCTCTTTTTTCCTGGCTCCTGCGTGGAGTACGGAAGGACTCTGTAGTCTTTTTGCTTCTTCTTTTTTAATTCATGAATGCAATGGGTCTCTTTTCTATAACGTATGTATATGTGGGCCTAATGCTTCCTTTAGCTTTAATAAAAGTCCAATCCGAAGATATAAAACCCAAAAGCATATTCCTGTTGAAACTACTTAGGATCGGCAAGTTAATAGTAATACTGATACATATGGGTAGTAGAGATTAGAGATCCTTTTTTTCAATCTAGTAGAGGTTCAGCTTTTTAATTCACGTATTCATCATTGTGGATTGATTTTTTGAAGGAGATTATTGGATGATTAAATTGCATTTGAGTGTTATAATCTTACAATTTAACTTATAAATTTGGTTTCCAATTTCTACAATAAAGATAATAGCTATGGCTATATATGCTAAGATTCTTATTTAGAAAGAGGTAATATATGTTTTTTTTTCAAATTATATACTTTCTACATTAAGATACTGTTTATTACATATTTATGAGCTCGAATGATATCCATTATGAAAGAAAATTGAAGTGTTTAGTTTTCATGAAGTGGCTGACAATCAATTCCAAAATAAATACTATTCTTCGTTTCGAAATGATAGTCTATGGTAAACTCAATCCATGTCTTTGATTGTCCCTTATACGTTTACAGTTTGACAAAATACATAGGATTAATAACCATTGTTTATTGTTATAACAGTAACAGAGATGCACCACCTCCTTAGTAAAATCAAAGACAAAATCCCACAACTAATCCCAACCAAAACACTACAATAGCTCAAGAGTTCAATGAATTCATATGATTCGGAAGAGGTAAATATGAATTTTTATTTAACCATTCATTAACCATCAAATGCTAACAATTTATTTAATACACAGGAAATATGTTTCTCTCAAATATAAGGTTGTCAAAATTAAAAATGAGTGGTACTATGTTAGACGAGAAACCTATCTACAAAAATTTGAACAATACTTGGACGAGTATTTTTCAAAGGCAACAATGTGAGGTTTTACAATGACATTAAATGCAACAATAGCTTAGGTAACAAAAAAAAAAAATTTACTTCAACATTGTTTTCCTAACTATGTAAGAACCATACATTCGGTACAAAAAGCATCTTAACTAGGAATGTCAATTACCTACCCATGAGAATTTACCCAAATCCAAGTAGACTCATTGATTATGGGTTAGCGTATGGGTGAAGTTTATATGAGTTTGGGAGGTTGTAGATGGGCTTGGGTAGGATTTGGATCTTGCTTCCAGAATCCAAATGGGTATGGGTTGAATATGGATACCCATTTGGTTGAGAGTGTTTTAACTACACATAGAAAAATTGGACCTATTTGTAAAATTTAAAAAGTTTAGGTACCAAAATGTAAGTGCAAAAAATTAGTACTAAAATGTAATTTTCCATCAACATTTTGAGGACTTATTTGAAAAAAAATAATTTTAGGTACTAAATCTAAGGATCTAATAAGTTTAGGTATCAAACTGTAATTTTCATATAATTATGGGTAAAATCCAAATCCATGAATCAAAAATCTAACCCAACCCAAATAAATGGATATGGATACAAACCCATCAAACTCTACACATATACCATCTATTTGATTTTTAAACTCAACCCAATTTGATTGGATAACAAAATAGCCATGTATAGGTAAAATTCTCATCCTTAATCTTAACTACTAAAGCATCAATCTTAACTACTTGCATCTTAAAATTTCATGTCTTATTTAAAATTTTATTCCAGACCTAATATACAATTTGAGTATAAGAGATTAGTTCTTAAAGTTTCTTTGTGGGGTTGGACAATAAATATCATTCTCGCAATTGTTGGTGATCGACCTCTCATTCTGGTTATTATATCACTATTTTGTCTACGAACAAAATGATAAAGAAACATTTTTTACATGTTTATCTGCAAACGAATTTACAAATTTTGTAAGTGATTGAATTTAGGTCAAGGTGAAATTCATGTTATTTGAAGTTATGTATTTTGTTGTGTGTTATTACTTATTAGTTACGAGTTTAGAAAAATCAAATTTTGGTTTCATAATAATTGTTTCTAAGATTAAAGTTATGGAGATGTATCACATCCTCCCAGGAGAGTAAGAAATGAAACTCATTCCCCACAAAAATATTGCAAGAGCTCAATAAATTGAAAATTAAAATTAAAGACTAGTTAAACATCAATTTCAATCTAACGACTCATTAATATTCAAATGCTAACTCCTTATATAATATTTTGAAAACTTTATGTTTCTTCCAATAGAAAGTTGTTAATTACAGTTGGAATGAGTGGCGTGATGCTTGACCCAAAACCTGTCCTCCAAAATTAGAAGACGACTCTCACCCGTAGGTAACAATCTAACTCTAGATTCATTCTTTTAGCAAAAAAATCATTAATAGCCATTGAAACATAAATTTTCTTACTAAATAGTGAATGCCAATTGATGCCATTTTATAGAGTTCAGGATCCAACTCCGAGTTTTGGATAAAATATTACAAGACAGACAAAATGAGAGGATCTTCACCTCCTCTTCTTCTAGGAATGGAAGGATTGGAGTTGAAGTTCGACATCAAACTCATTGACTACAACATCATGAATCCCACAAGTGAGTAAATAGATTTGAAGATAAGGAAGGATTAAAGAGCGAAGCTTAGAAAATATTCAATACATAAATGAGATTAATGTTACATGCATGAGTCTATCTCCACTATAAATCCAAGAAACAATTATCTTGCCAAAAACTTCCTCCAATAACAAGTGGAAAGGGTCAGAGTGCAAAAATATAGTGGATTGAGAGCCAAATCTGAACCGGTAGACGACAAGGGGAGTCAGACAATCCGCCCTCACTTTGCCACAACAATTACGTGTCAAAGATGGCGTGTGGCGCAAACGTGGCGCAAGGAAGGGAGGCAGAGCGTGTATGTGGTGCACGCGCAGGCCGCACAACTCTCCCTTCCTTATGGGCATTACATAATAATAATAATAATAATAATAACTATTACACTTTTAGCCCCAAATTCTCTCCAACGGTTATTTTGGCCATCCAACAACTCTTTTCTCAGCTTTTCCTATAAATACACTTCATTTTTTCACTACTACTTCACTTCACTACCTCCAAAACTTTCTCTCCTTCTCCATCTTTTTCACATCAGTTAAAAAATTGTCTTCTTCCTAAACTCTTAATTCATTATTACTACCTATATAAATGTAATATACAATCTATGTAATTAAAACTATGAAATCTACTCTAAACTAAGTAATAAAAAAAGAACAAGTTTGACACTTTAGCTGTAGCACTCCATTGTTGGAGCAAATCCTATTTTTTTAGTGCCTAATAATTCTAGCACTGTATCACTTTGGCCCCTTATAGGAGATGGTCTGAAGTTCCAATTTCATATTTTTAAAAATTATACCACTAATTTTGGAATTTAATGAAATGCAAAAGAAGACTTTGGTAGTAGTGAAAGTAGCGGATTTTATAGTTAAGATGACGACGATGTTGAGAAGATGGAAGAGAGTTTCATGTTGAAGATAAAGGGTTTAGTGATGAGGACAACAACAAATCATTCGATTATATAATGACTTGGATGAGATAAATTCAACTTGTAGTGTCATATTGTAAATATTTTCTCATTCAATTTTTTAACTTTTGTTGCTCACAAGAAGAAAGAGAATATTGACGGTGAAGATTTTGATTTTGGTTTGGTATATTACTTTAATTATGGTTTGTCTCCCTGACATGAGTTTAGTTATTTACTTTCATCTTTACATCAATCAATCAGTTATAATATCAAAAAAATCTATGATGAATGTTCATTCCCTATTTTGGTGATTGAATATTTTGTATTCTTTTGTAGTACCAAACAACGTAACTTAATATAAACAATTACTATTGTTGTTTATGTTATTGTCAATTCTCTAACTAGAGTTTGTTATTTATTTTTTGTATTGATTTCACTCAATGAATCTTTTTGGATATTGAAAAACTCTATGAGGTTTATCCTTTCCAATGTTTCTAATAATATTGAAAATTTTAGAAAAATTAATGATACAAAAATGTATATCAATTAAAATAGTTGCGATCCTTATTTACTACATAGCGAAATAAAATCGGCCAACGTGCCGGGCCCGTGACTAGTAAACAAATACCATGATGACTGCCTTGATCCCATCTCCATCGAGGTGGCACTCCTCTGGGCTGTCCCTTTGGAGCTGCAGCAAGACATCTATCAAGGGTACTGCTTCGCCTTCTTCTTCTTCTTCTCCTCTTTCTATCATGTTGCTCCGTTTCTCCAAACGAGCCGCGCTCTCGAGGACAGCTCCATCGAGAAACTCATCAAATCGTCGACTCGAGCATCGAACCCAATGAGTCGACTCACCCAAGAAAGTTGAGGAATGAACTCCCCCACACTAAATGCAATAAAAAAACTCCATGATCTCTGCCAACAGATCCATCCGGAAAGATGCTATTGGTATTGCACTTCCTCCCCAGCGCCATCCTGCAGATGACGTCGTTGGTGAAGCAGGGAGGGAGGGAAGTAGTGTGCTCAAGTTCACCTCCTCCATGCATTAATTCCACCCGGCCATTTAATTATTCATACATAAAATAAATAAATAAATAAATAAAAACTTGGCTGGATGAATAAATAATTTAATTAATTACTATATATCCACCTCGCCTGTTTGAGCACTTTGTCCGAATCCGATTGACCAGCAGCCCGATTTCCTCCTCTCTCAAAGCCAAATGGCGACAGGACCGGATTTTCTTGTTGCTGAGGAGATGAAGCACGCACAGTCGTCTGGACAGCCTCCAGTGCTCTCCGTATTGACGATGTCTTTGTTACCGTAGAGAAGCTTCAATTAATTCTTAGCGGTTTTCCGTTCTGGCCGGTCGGAGGAGATGAGGTCGTGGGTCTTCATCACCTCACGCGCCGCCTTGGAGGTGGAGACCACTACACTAGTGCCGGCCTGCTGCCGAAGTGGAGCAACATGAGGTCAGAGGCACCGCAGCGCTTCGCCAAGCCAGGGAAAGTTCGGTGAGGAAACTTGCCCACTTGGTGGAGGTTCCCAAGGATCGGCAGCTTCGGCGGGGATGGGGGCTTTCGGGCTTTGTTTCCAGCCGGCTGCCGGCGTTTCATGCTGCTGATGATAATATTACTGATGATGAGTGCTGCAGCGAACCCGCTGGCGGCCTGTACTACTGCCATGGCTTATCGATCAAACAGGCTTTCTTTCTTTCTTTCTTTTGTTAGAAGTTCTAGTAGCAAATTGTAATTAACCAATATTAATGTTTAATTACGTTAGCCTGGTAGGGTTGTGAGGCGATGTATATAAGTGGAAAAGCCTCCTCTGATGTAACTAAGGGTTTCTCGGCGGCATCTCTATAACATAGACTTTGAGAGGTTACTCCTCTCCGTGGATTAGTCTCAATGATCTTCGTTGAGGATACCACGTAAATTCGGTGTTGTTTTCGTTTGTGCGATTGTGTTTAACATGGTATCAAAGCCTCGAACTTAATTATCGAGGGTCTCTAAGTTTCTGTTTCTTTGGCTGCTTAGATTTTTTTTGGGTGCCTGCCTTCTTGGTCTCGCAGGTTTTCTGGTTGTTTCAGGCTTGCGGCAGCAGCGCTTGCTTCTTAAGGTTAATTCTCGTCCTTGCTTGTGGTGATTCCCTTCTCTGCTGCCATAATGGAGTCTTCCAAATTGGATTCAGTATCGGTTCATTTTGATGGGCGTAATTATGCCCTTTGGGAACTTCAGTTCAGGGTATTTGTTCAAGGGCGCAGGCTTCTTCCGATTCTAGACGGAACTCTGGCCGAACCAGCTGCTACGGCGCCGGTCAAAGATCGAGATGACTGGGCTGTTCACAACGCCCAAGTTATGGGGTGGATTTTGGGCTCCGTCGATCATGCAATCGCCCTGAGTTTGCCTAGCTTTACTATAGCTCACGCCATGTGGAGGCACCTTCGCGGTTTGCACACTTAGTCGAGTGCATCTCGCAAGTTCGAGCTAGAGTTTGACATTGCCGAGTTGTCTCAAGGAGATAGAGATGTTCGTGATTACTATCAAGAGGCGATTACCCTATGGACCAAACTTGATTTGTTGACTGCTTCGCTAGTCTCGGCTCCTGCCTCGGCCGAAATTCTTGAAGAGTGAGCTAGCTCTCGTGTGATGACTTTCTTGATGAAGCTTAGGCCAGAATTTGAAGGTATTCGCTCCTCACTTCTTCATCGTAATATTACTCGGCTAGAGGATGTCTTGGGTGAGCTAATTAGGCAAGAGACACGGCTGAGAAGTCAAGCTAAAATTGATCTTCATGAAGCGGACAATTCAGCTACTGTGTTCTCAGTGAGTGGGCGATCTTCAGCTGCCCCTTTAGCTCGTTCTTCTCAGGTGATGGTTGGTTCCTCCGCTGGAGATCAATCGGTCTATGCTGTGAGGTCTAATAGGCCGCGTTTCCATCGTTCAGCAAATGGTCAGGTGATTTGCTTTTATTGTAGAGAACTCGGTCACGTTAAACTACATTGCCCCAAACGTATTGAGTGCAATTATTGTAAAGAAGCAGGGCATAAAATTGCAGCATGTCCCATTCTAGCAAAAAAGGGGAGGGCTCAGGTTGGAACTTCTCATCGTGGTGCTGCCCCTGCTCCTGCCTATGCCACGGCTACCGCACCTCTCGCCCCGGCTGGTTTTACTTCCGACTCCATTCATCAAATGCTTCAGGAGGTGGTTCGTGACGCTTTTCCATCTGCCTTAGGCTCGGTATTTACAGCGGGTATGCCTTCTCATTCATCTATCCCTTGGCATCTTGATTCGGCTGCGTTTAACCACATGACTAGTTCTAGTTCTTCCTTTCGTCGTCTGCACCCTGTCAATTCTCCGCAGTTACAGGTCGCAGATGGGACATGTATTCCTGCTCAAGGGATAGGGGAGGTTGATCAGCCTGGGATATGTCTTCCAACTACTCTTTATGTGCCTAAACTTGTCCCAAATTTGGTATCGGTCGGACAATTGGCAGAGTCTGGTTGTAGTATCACATTTGATGCCGGTGGTTGTATTGTGCAGGACAAGAAAACGGGGAAGGAGCTGGGCCACGGGACTAAGGTTGGCCTAGTTTTTCAGCTGGATCGGTTTGAAGGTTCTAATGAGAGGCTGGATTCGGGTGAGAGTGGTGCTAGCGTGGGTGCGGCGGTGGTCAGTTCTCCATTGCTGTCAGCATCATCGCAGTCTGTTGGATTTTCTGTTAATTTGTCAAATTGGGATTTATGGCATGGAAGATTGGGACATCCCCATTCAGCTCGATTGCAAGAGATGTTTAAGAATAAGATTTTGTCCGGCACTTTTATTTCTGACTCTTCACGTCAGTGTACTCATTGTTTGGAAGCTAAACTCTCCCTGCACTCTTTTAGTTCGAGTACTACTGCTTATTCAGATCCATTATTTGAGTTAGTTCACACGGATTTGTGGGGTCCTTCCTCAGTTACTTCACGTGTTGGTTTTTGATACTTTGCTTTATTTATCGATCAGACTACTCGTTTTGCTTGGGTATACTTTCTACGTCAGAAATCAGATCTTCTAGAGATTGCTAAAGAGTTTATTCAGATGATTCAAACTCAATTTGGGAAAACAGTGAAGGTGATTCGATCTGATCCTGGAGGAGAATTTTCTTCTGGTCCGTTACAGGCATATTTTAAAGCTCTGGGGATTTTGCCTCAACAGTCCTGCCCTGGCGTATCTCAGCAAAATGGGTTGGTTGAAAGAAAACATAGGCATGTATTGGAGTTAACTCGGAGTCTCTTGTTTCAGTCTAATATTCCTACTACATTCTGGGTTGAAGCGGTTCACACTGTTGTCTACTTGATTAACCGTCAGATCACTCCTGTGCTTGCTCAACGTAGCCCGTATGAAGCCTTGTATCAGCGTAAACCTGATTATGCGTGGCTTCGTATGTTTGGTTGTATATGTTATGTACTTCTTTCAAAATGGGAACGTCACAAGCTCAGTCCCAAGGCGGCTAAATGTGTCTTTATTGGATATAGCGACAAACATAAGGGGTACGTCTGTTACGATGTCATAAATAGACGTATTCGCATTTCATGCCATGTTGCTTTTTTGGAACACATGTCTTACTATGCAGACAAGAGTTCTGAGTCAAAGAAAGAAGTGGACTTTCTTAGATAGACCCCAACTTCTCTTTGCCGAGATTCCTGATGCCCCTCCTCCCAATGATGATAATCATGATCTATCACAAGCTGGGTCCATTTCCATGGACTTGATGAGTATGTAAACTTTGTAGGAACAAGAGATTTTGGAGGAGAAGCTCAGCTGTAACCTGAGCTCCTTGTAGCTTTTATAGCTACGGTTGCAATTAACAGAAATGCAATACGTGTCCTTACATGATTGGCTATAGTTTTAAATAAACAGTGATCAATAACGGCTAATAGAAATAAACTCAAACGCTGCCGTTTCCTTTACTTCACTTCACTTCAATCTTCATGGAACGCCGTCGTCTTCTTCTCTTCTTTAACAACGGCTCCTCTTCATCCAGAACGACATCGTTCCAGCTTCACTTCTTCAATCCGCAACTCTTCAGGATTCCAACTTCATCTGCAACCTCTTCTGCAACTTCCTCTGCAACTTCGATTCTGTCACCCCCTTCAAGTTGGTGGTGCACCTGTAATCCCCAACTTGCACAAGATTTCTTTCATTTTAAATCTGTCCAGCCCCTTTGTGAAAATATCTGCCAGCTGCTCATTAGTTCCAACGTGTTTCAACTTGATCAAACCTCCTTTTATCCTATCTCTTGTGACATGAATGTCAATCTCAATATGCTTAGTCCTCTCGTGAAATACTGGGTTTTCTGCAATATGAATTGCAGACCTGTTGTCACAATGCACAAGGATAGGTAGAGGTACCTGCACTGTCAGTTCAGAAAGCAGCCTTTTCAACCATTCAATCTCACAAACTAAGTGTGCCAAAGCCCTGTATTCAGCCTCAGATGATGACCTTGATACAGTAGTTTGCTTCTTTGTTTTCCATGTGAGCAGTGAGGTGCCAAGGAATGTGCAGTACCCAGTAACTGATCTCCTAGTGTCTGGACAACTCGCCCAGTCTGAATCACAGTAACCAATCAACTCTTCCTTTGCTGTACTGCTAAAATGTATCCCTTGGTCTGGTGTTGATTTCAAATACCTCAAGACTCTGTATGCAGCTTGCATATGTTCTTCATATGGATTCCTCTGATACTGACATAGTTGCTGTACAGCAAACACTATGTCAGGTCTTGTGATTGTAAGGTAGTGGAGTCTTCCAACTAACCTTCTGTATGCTTCACCATCTTCCAGCAATGTTCCTTTTGAACTTAATTTTACCTTAGCATCAATAGGTGTTTTGCAGCCTTTTGCCTCCAAATACCCTGTATCTTTCAAAAGATCAATGCAGTATTTCCTTTGACACATGTTTAGTCCCTTCTCATCTCTGCTAACTTCAAGTCCCAGAAAATATTTCAATGGCCCTAGCAATTTCAACTTAAATTCCTTGCTCAGGGCTGTTTTAACTTGATCTATGTCCTTCTGTGCATCTCCACCTACCAAGATGTCATCAACATACACAAGAATGACAGTGATTCTCCCATGTGTCCACTTGGTGAAAAGTGAATAATCTGATGCTGATTGTGAATAGCCTAGCTTCAGTAGAAAACCAGTGAGCTTTGCAAACCATTGTCTTGAAGCTTGCTTCAGACCATATAGTGACTTCTTTAACCTGCAAGTCATTTTCTGATTTCCTACTGTATTGACCTTGAGTCCAAGAGGAATCTTCATGTAAACCACCTCTTCCAAATCTCCATGCAAAAACGCATTAGATACATCCATTTGTTCAATTGACCAGTTTCTCAGACTTGCTACTGCTAAGAAAGTCTTTACTGTATTTATCTTTGCAACTGGAGAGTAAGTGTCCAAAAAGTCTATTCCATACACTTGTGTATAGCCTTTGGCCACCAGCCTAGCCTTTTCTCTTTCCAGTGAGCCATCAGGTTTAAATTTATACTTAAAGACCCATTTGTTTCCTATTTCCTTGACATCTGGTGGCAATGGTACTATATCCCAGGTCTGATTCTCTTCCAAGGCATGCAACTCAGTGTTTACTGCTCTATTCCACACATCTGACTTAATTGCCTCATAGTATGATTTAGGTTCTTCCAGATTCATAATGCTCAAGGCAAGAGATCTATCACCAGGGCTTAGACTATCCACATTCAAGCAAACAGGATATCTACTACTGCTAGCACTTGACTTAGCATAAGGTCCAAAAGTAATGCTGGGATCTAACTCATAATCTTCATACCTGCTGGGAAGTTTAATCTTCCTTCGAGGCTTACTTTGTTGTGAAACATCCTGAGAATCAAGATCCATGTCAGTTTGAGGAAAGAGTTCATGATGGTCAGCATCATAGTACTGATCATGCTGCTGATCATGCTGATCTTGACTTCCAGTATGACTTGAAGAAGGTTCAGTGCTCTCAACCTCAGGCTGCCCCCCTTCATCCATGAATGGATGAACCTGAGGACTAGGTTGATATGAGGTGGAAGGAATGTGAAGGGCAGGGGCAGGATGATTGGAAGGTGTAACTGGTGAGGATGTGGACTGAGTGGATGAATCATCTTCTGCACAATGAAAAGGCAGAATCTTCTCATAGAAGTAAACATCTCTGGATATGAACACTTGTTTGGTGTGTATATCCATGACTTTATACCCTTTAATCCCTGTTGGAAACCCCAAGAAAACACATTGCCTTGCGCGTGGGGCAAACTTAGTTCTTCCATGGGTAAGAGTGGAAGCATAACACAAGCATCCAAAAACCCTTAAATGAGCCAGTGAGGAGGGTTTGTCATATAACAATTCAACTGGTGACTTGTGTTTAAGGACTGGTGTGGGGATTCTGTTTATCAAGTAAGCTGCATGCAATACACACTCAGTCCAATATTGCAGAGGTAAACCAGATTGAAATCTGAGTGCCCTGGCTACATTAAGTATATGCTGATGCTTACGTTCCACCCTGCCATTCTGTTCTGGTGTTTCCACACAGGAAACTTGATGTTCAATGCCCTCCTGAGCAAAGAAATCACACATTTGAAACTCCTTACCCTGGTCACTTCTTATAGTTTTCACTGTAGTTCCAAACTGATTCTTAACTAAGGCACAGAAACCTTGTATTAACCCCCTAACTTCACTTTTATGTTTCATCAAGAAGATCCACACACAACGAGAAAAGTCATCCACAACAGTAAGAAAATATTGATAACCATCATAAGAAACCACTGAGAGAGGTCCCCAAATATCCATATGAAGTAAATGAAAAATCCCAGGTGCTGTGTTGGTACTAACAGGGAAAGGAAGTTTGTGTTGCTTGGACAAATGACAGACATCACAGTGTAAATGTTTAAATTTGGTTACATCTGGAATAGTTCTAGACAATAAGGACATTCTATCATGGCTAGGATGCCCTAAACGCCAGTGCCAAATGTGGAGGTCTTGTGGTTGAAAGTTGAATATGGAAGCTGCTTGTGGTGAAGGTGAGGGTGATGTATGATACTGGGACAGAATCAGCTGGTAAAGGCCTCTAAACTCTCTTGCAAAACCAATCCTCTTCTGGCTTAGAAGGTCCTGGATTTCACAATGGTCAGAGTGGAAGAGTAGGGTTAGAGGGTGATCATGGGTAAGTTTACTAACTGATATAAGGTTGAAGGTGAATGAAGGGACTAAAAGAACATTATAAAGGGTCAAGCCAGTAGGCAATGTAACAGTTCCTATGCATGTAACCAAGACTTTGGCTTTGTTGGGTAAATAGACATAAGTGTCCTGAACTTCAGTATAACTTGTAAACATATGAGCAGTACAAGCTATATGGTCAGAAGCACCTGTATCTAAAATCCAAAGACTGTGATCACATGTGTTATCTAAATGGGAGGAGGAGACAACATGGTTACCTGAATGGTTAGGGTATGGTGATGGGTATTGAGTGGCTGTGAAGGCTTGATGGTTTATGGAAGGGGAAGTAGGTGGTGAGGGATAGGCGTTAGTACCAAGTTGCAGCAATGTCCTGAGACGATTCATTTCTTCTGCAGTGAATGCTAATGGAGTTTGGTTCATACCTTCTGCAGTAGCTGCACCATCAATAGCATGATCACCAGTGCCATT